GTGTCTGGGGGCTGGGGAGGGGCTGGAGCTGGAGGGTCAGGGTCCTGCCCATCAGAGTGAGGCCGCCAGCGTCCTGCACACTCCGGTCAGGTTGGGGGAGGGAGGCAGATTGCCTCCCATTGTGTGTATGTGTTGGGCGGGAGGGTGTCCCTCACTACCTCCCAGTGCCAGGCAGAGCCAGCTCACCCTGATGAATAGCGAACAAGATGGGACTGGCTGGGAGGAGGTGAGGGTCCTGTAAGAGGGACACCCTGCAGATTCCAAACGAGGTGGCCCCTGTCCATCCCACTTCCCTGGGCTAGTGGGAGGGGAATTGGGGAAGCCCTGGGAGTTTGAGGGGAATGAGCAAAGGCACAGAAACATGGAGGGGCCGGGGTGGGGGGCTTGCATAGGTTGATGAGTGTGCAAGAGGTACATAAATAAACCTGACACCCCACCCAGCCCGGCACTGGGAGAGGAGGTAGGGACCTGGAGCAGGTCCCCAGGGCTACACCCCCTCTCCCCCAGGCTTTTTCCCTCTCCCTGGGCTCAGAGTTGAGGGAGGTCCAGACCTGGAGGGCAGGGGCAAAAATAGGGGAATGGGGTGAGAGTGCTGGGAGGGCGGTGGTTTTAAAATTTTTTTGGTTTTTTGTTTTTTCCCAACATCTTTAATAACATACACAATGGTTACCAGCCATATTCATAACAAAAGTTATTCATAAAATGTATCTAAAAATAACATTTTTTCCCTTTCGGTGTGAAAAGCTTGAGAATGTCCCAGTGTGTATGGGAGGGTTGAGGGGGGAGGGTGTTGGAATAGGGGACCCTGGCTTCCCCACAACCTGAACCCTCAAATCCCCTCCCTCCACCTGGGCCCCAGCACAACCCAGCAGTAGGAACAGGGACCAGAGGCTCTGTATGACTCCAGGGCTGGGGGAATCTCTGGGTTATGATATAGTGTTCCACTTAATGAGGTCATGACATAATGGGGAGTGGGGAAGGATGAGAGAAAGGGGGTGGGGAAAGAAACCAAAACCAAACAATCCCCTTTCCCTTATTCCTTACCCCCAAGTCTTTCAGCAACCAGACCTGGGAGTGAAGAGTATGTTGATGGGGGAAGGGGATGTTAAGGCAACAGACTTCCTGACCTCATTGGCTGTCCTGGCTCCCCACCTTCAACTTATGCATCTGGGGAGCCAAGGCTGGGGGGAAGTGGGGAAGAGCTAGGGGGTCTGGAGGAGGGGGCTCTGCCCCTCTCCCCTCATAAAATTCAGGTTCCCCCTGCCACTTTCTTGGCTCAGAAAGAGGCCTGGGGATTCTAAAAATGAGAGGGAATGATCAGAGAAAAACCGTTAAGAACTATATAAATATGTATCTTAAATAGGCCTAAGAAATTAATTGTAGAGAACCTCTGATAAACAGGGCAAAAGGAGGTGAGTGAGAAGAGGATGGCTCCTGTCCTCGGGGAATGATGGAAATTGGGAAGGAGAAGAAGGTGGCGAGGAGAAAGAGATTCCTCACCTACCTTCTCCTTAGCGCCTCTCAAAATAATATTCAGGAGAGCAGGTTATCTTACCCAGCTTGTCTCTCCCCAAATGTCTGATGGTTCTGAGCAGGCCCCATAAGATAGTGGGTCAGTGAGTCTCAGGGGATGAGGGAGCTGCTCCCTCAGGGGCAGGTGAACATTCTGGAGGAAGCGGGGGTGGGATGGGGCCAGATGAGCTATAAGGAAGGAAAGGGGGGCAGGCAGGCTGGCCAAGCTCCTGCCCCCTTTATTCTGGCTGCCCCCTACCTTCCTGGGCCTCGGCAGAGATCCCTCAATGGGCCCGAAAGTGAGCAAGGCAGGTGCCAATGTTAAACAAAAGTTAAAAGGATGAGAGAGTAGAAAAATACTAGAATGTATAGCTGAGCCAGCCCACCCTCTCGCTGTCGCAGAGAAGCCCGTTGGGGGTTGGCCCCCGCCCGCCGCCCAGGGAGCCTATGGGTGCGCTGGGCTGTGGGTCCCGTCAGATGGTGGAGGTTTTGTCTGTCCCATCTGTGGTAAGAAAGGGAGGAAGGGAGGAAGATCAGGAGCTGGTGGGAGGCTTGAGAAAAGATGCTCAGGTAGCCTGCCATCCCAGTCAGGTCCTCCCTGAAGCACAGCCTCCCCGAGGGCCCCCTCAAGGATGACTATGAGTTGCTCAGTTCGGAGGTGGAGACGCTGCTGGGTAGGTGGGAGCTGGGTCAGGGAAAGATGAAATGCTCACCACCCAAGGCGTGTTCTGTCATGCTCAGACACAGAGACTCCAGAGTGGGGTTGATCTCCAGGTCAGGCCCAGGGACCGGACAGTCTGTATGGGACAGAGGAGAATGAAGGTGGTAAGGACTGGACTTAGGTGGAGAGTAAAGCTAGGAAGACAAAGGACAGGATAGGCTGGCATTGGGGAGAGGCTGGGAGAGACAAGGGGGGAAAGGAGGCAGAGAGAGACAGAGAAACAGCACATGAGACAGGCACACGCTCGGATGGAAGGTGTAAACTAGGCAGAGGTAAAGGACAGAGACAGGCCTGGGTGGATCACAAAGCAGGTAGAGCCCTAACCGGTTTGGCTCAGTGGATAGAGCGTCAGCCTGCGGACTCAAGGGTTCCAGGTTCGATTCTGGTCAAGGGCATGTACCTTGGTTGCGAGCACATACCCAGTAGGGGGTGTGCAGGAGGCAGCTGATCGATGTTTCTCTCTCATCAATGTTTCTAACTATCCCTCTCCCTTCCTCTGTTAAAAAAAAAGAAAAAAAAGAAAAAGAAAAAGCAGGTAGAAATGGCAAGTGCAGAGGCTTGGCCAACAAATAGAAAGCTTGACCTGTAGACAGAGTAATGTGAAGCTGAGGGAGCTTCCTGGAGGCCACACAGCCTGTGACTATTTTGGACACATACTATACGTCTTCTTGGGCACAGTCTGGGTATCTGCTGTGGGTGCTCGGCAGCCACTGTGTTCCCTGACTGATGACCTGCTCTATACTTCATTTAGAAGCTTAATTAGAACTCTTCCCATTCTTTCTTGGACTTTCTCCTCTGGGATGGATTCGATCCGGGCAGGCCACGCAGATGGGGCAAACCAGGGCAGCAGCCACGGAGCTTATCCTCAAACCACCCCTCAAAGGGCTTCCTCTTCTGGAGTCTGGGAGACAGCCCCCTCCCTGGGCGGACTCAGACACACCCCACACTGCTTAAAACCTTTCCTGGCTCCTTACATCTGAGCTTTTTACCTGTGTTTAAAAGACCCTGCTCCCACCTCCAGCTTCACCTTTCATCATGTCCCCTCTGAACCCTGAACTCAGGCCATGTCAGACTACCTAACTGTCTTCCCTTTTAACCTTGGGCAAGTTACCTATTTGTATCTCAGATCTGTGACTGATCAGATAGGAATGAAATCAGTGCCTCACTTGCAGTAAACAGTGCAGTAAAACTGCCTGACAAAAGCCCGGCACATAGCATACCAGTAAAAAGAATTGTTCTTTTTTGTTGTTGTTGTTCCTGCAGTTCATCATCTTATAACATCATTTACAGGTGCTAGGCCCTGTGCAAGAATGAACACAACTAACAGGGTCTCTAACCTTCAACAGATGGCAGTCCACATTATCTTATAAATTAAGAATACCTACTGATTTGGCAGTTTATGACATGAAGAGTTTAGGGTCACCTGCATATCTAAGGTCTCTCCAGCAGCCATTCCAGAGTAGCCTTATCTGCCTCAGCAGCCTCGGTGCCCAGCAACGGGCTTGGCACGGGCAGAGTCATCCTCACTGGTTGAGCAAGGTAGGGCTAACACTTCTCTACCCTTCTGTCCTCTTCACCCTCATTCTGATCTATCTCTGGGCTGGTCTGTGAGCACAGGAAAAACAGTTCCTCCAACTCAAACACCCTTTAGGTGTTTGATCCAAGAAAAATCTGTTCCAAGAGCTAAATGGTCACCTGGCTTCTGAAAGAATGCCAGATTGATAGACACCTCCAAAAAAACCTCATTGCTTTGACTCTCATCCCCTCAACCCCTTTCAAACTGAGTATTTAATGATCCTCTAAAAAGATGGTGACAGAGACCGACATGGATACCAAAATTATGACAGGGAGAGATGTGGACATGCGGGAGTAGAAGTAAGGGGTGAGAGAAGAAAGAGAAAGTAAGGCAGTGCTCGCTTTGGCAGCACATGTAATAAAACTGGAATGATACAGAGAAGATTAGTATGGCCCCTGCACAAGATGAAATGCATATTTAAAACCAAGAGAGAAAGGAAGAAAAGATCTGAGAGAGAAAATTGAAATGGGGGTGGGGAAGAGTACAAGAAAACCCATGATGAGAGGAGGTTGGAAGGATGGGGAGAGGTGCTCGAGTGTAAAAGAAATAGGAGAGAAGATAAAGGCCAGCTAAGGGTGTTGTGCAGGCAGAATTCCAAGGGCTAAGGCACTTTACCTGGAGGGAACATGAGAATGGCCTGCGGCGAGGAGTGGACTGGGAGCGAGTGCGTGCGCTGCACAGAGCTACGGCTCTGGCTGGGCATGCTGTTGCTGCCTCCAGGGTTGGCAAACCATAAGTTCTGAAAAGGGCATGGGAAGAGAAAAAGTGGGTGAGTGGTGGAGACCCAGGCCCAGGAGTAATGGAATTGGCAAAGGAGCCCCTCCCCTCTAATCCAGGCCCAGATCAAAGATACGGACACACACATCCCAGGCACCAACACCCACCTCAACCCCAGAAGCACCAGGCCCTCTATATCTAGCCGCTCACCTGTCGGCCTTGGCCCCCAAGGTTGGGGCTGGTGAGGGCATGTCTGGGGGAAATGCCCCCAATGCCCGAGGGGCTTAGAAGGCCCATTCTGCCGGGTGGAAGGGCCCGGGGAGGCATTGGGAACTGCCGCTGGGTCCGCCGGGCCACCCCCATCCCCACAGAGCCAGCTATGGGGAGTGAGTTGGAGCCAAACGCCCAGCTGTGAGAGAGCAGAAGGCAGGGTGTCAGTTTAGGTGGATGGGGCCCATCTTTCCACCCCTCCTCACGTCCCTGTACAATCCCAATGGGTAGGACACAGCACAGACCTGCTCTGAGCAAAGATTTCCTGTCCAAGTTCCTGCACCACACATTCTGTCTCCTCCTGCCCAAGGGGTTCCCCCAAGACAGAGACAGGAAATGTTCCTCATCTCCAAGCAAAGCAGTTCTCCTACCTTCAATACGCACGTGTGATATTCCTGTTATTTGTTTGGGAGTGAGAAGGGACTTCAGAGCCCTCTGCACACAAGGTGAAGAGAACAGGGACAGGCAAGGGTCTGCTATCAGGACATGATCTGGTTTTGCCTGCCTAGTACCCTATTTTAGCAATAAGAACATCCTGATTTTCTTCTGGAAAAGTCTTCACTGGGTGATGTGTGTAAGTCACCCAGTGATTGAATGAGTCCCATTGGATTCCCAGCCCAGAATGCAATCACCCTTCTAAGCACTAGCTGTCAATCAGCAAGGGCCTAGGGAGGGACGGCCTGCATACCCGGCTGCCTGCCTACCCTTTCTGCTGCCGGTAGTTCTGCATCTCTAGTGCGGCTTTGCGCGGGAAGGTTCGGAGGAGCTTCAGCACTTGCTGTTTCCAGGACAGCAACCGTTTCTTCTGCGTCTCCGTGAAAGCCTAGATACAATTAGGGAAGTTAAGCAGGGAGGGGGTGTTTCTTTCAGATCTGCCTTCTGTCCATTTGCTCAAATATTTATCTGCTGCCTGCTCTGTGCCAGGCAATGCTGGGATGCAGAGGTTACCCGTGCACATGAAGCTTACAGTGTAGTTGGGGAGATGAGTGATGAATGCTGTGAGGGAGAAACACAGAAGGCACAAGAAACTTATCTAGTATGAGGAGCCAATGAAGGTGTCCCTGAGGTACAAACATTTGAACTTGGAGCTGAGGGGCCAGTAGGTGGTGAGATGAGGGCTGGAGAGGTTGGCAGAAGCCAGCCAGGTAGCGCCCATTGGCCACATAAGGAATGTTGGCTCTGACAGTGATGGGGTCACCTTGCTCTTCTTGGGAGCTCTAGGGAAGGACTCACCTCATGAGTCAGGCACTTTTCGATTAGCTGGAGGTAACTGGTGATGTTCTCCTCATCTGGTCGAGACACCAGCAGCTGGGTGCACACTGGGGACATAGGAAAGGGTAGGAGGTTAACCCCCAGCATGCCTTCTACCACAAAAAGAGAGACAAGAAACTCAGGCTGGATGAGTACTAGTTATGTGCCAAGCATGATACCTGGCTTATGAAGATACAGAAAGCACCCAGCATAGTGCCTGGCATAAGGCAGATATGAGGTCAATGATACCGTTTTTCCTTTTAACTCTTATAAGAATCTCATCAACCGGCATTTTTAGCATGAGGAACCTTGAGGCTCAGAGAGGCTGAGTGTGTCCCAGGTCATACAGATAAAGGGATCTAGACCCAAGTGTAAAGTATGCCGACATGCTGCCCTTTGAGAGCTTTATCATATTCATCTGTGGATTTCAGTCACCTCTGAGAGAACCAACAATTCTCCTTATCTGTTCACTCTGTACTGTATGTGGTTTCCACTGATATACTGTTCTCTTCTTCTCAGGCTGGAGATGCTTTGAGTGTGAGCACTGTCTCCCACACCAGCCAGGACACAATATAGGGCAGGGACCTTGCCACCTCAGTCTCAAGTCACTCTCTATGGTGTTCTACTCCCCAGGGTTCTTTAAAAAGTTCTGCTTCCACTATTTAACTTGAATTTGACTCCTAATGCCTAGGTTCATTTGGCTCTCTGTCCCAGAACTTTTTGCTGGCCCCTAGGCGGTCTCACCTTTGCCCATCACCCGTGTAAACTGGCTGGGAATGTCTCCGTCAGCAACGGGAGGTGGGGCTGGCTCGCTGCCATCAGTGGGAACTGGAGCTGGTGGAGGGGGGTAGCTCTCTGCAGCTGGAGGATCCTTGGCCTCAGTGCCCTTGTCTGTGCTGGGATGAGCCAGGGGAGACTCAGCACCTGGCAGCAGTGGCTCCCCCTGGCCTGCATCCCTGGCAGTCGAGGTGGAGGTGGTGGGGGTGGGGGCCACAGTGGCCTGGAGAACACTGTAGGCCTTGATCGGGGTGACGATGACCTGCTGCAGCTCCTGCAGAGCGTTTCGCAGGTTTCCTCCTTCCAGCACGTCCTGCATGGGAGGGCATCACTGGGGTCACATGCCGACCCCACATTTATGCAGAAGGACTACACAAATGCGGTCAGACAGGGCTTGGAGAGTGCTTGGCAGGAACCTGGGTTCCAGCACATAGAGAAGGAAGGTAAAGGTACCACAAGTCCACATATATATGTACACATTTGTACTACACATTCCCTCTTCCCCCTTCAAGGTGGAGTCCCAGGGAGCTCAGGAGAAGGTGGTCTAATCCTGGGGCCTTCGGGTCCCACCAAAGGTGGAACCAGATTCGGATGTAGAAATCTGGACTATGAACTGAGGGGGTAAAACCAGAAGGCAAGTGGCAAGGAAGGGGTAAAAGGAATGCAATTGGACAGATATGGAAGGAGTGAGTAGATGGGAAACAAACCAAATGGAGAGATCACGCACCCAGGGAGATGCTCTGCTCTACCAGAAAGACCAGTCAGAAATGGGAGTGAAAGAAGAGAGAAGAGATTGTCAACAGTCTGGGGACACACACCAGGACAGACAGACAGGGAGCCCAGGACAGAGGTATCAAGTGAGCCCTGTCATCCAACTTATACTTGGTCCCCAGAGTCTGGTTCCCTAAGGCTGAGGCCACTGCAGATCAGACCCGAGGGCTGGGGAGGTCCTCAGGAGAGGCCACATGGGTAGCAAGGATGCCCCAGAGCCTTCAGTCTATTGGTACCCCTGGGCAGCCAACTAACCGTGGAAATGGGGAATACCAGGTCCTCACCTTCTCCAGGGACTTGAGGACGCTCTGCCTCTCACGCAGCTTCTGGATGCTCAGGGCTATCTTGTGGCGGGCACCTTTGGTGACATTCTGTGGTAGGGCAGAAGGGGACAGGAGGCTGGAAATAGCAGGTCAAGATACTTAGGGTGCCCCAACAAAGCTCAAAGAGCTGGAGGAGGCTCAGGTCACACGGATAGTGTCAAAATAGTACCCTAACTCTATCCTGATGGTCCCCTGAGCTTTACCTGAGACTCCAGATGCTGTTCAGTCAGTGTCATCATCTCCTCGTAGCTCATCTGTGAGAAAAGGGCTGCGTACTTGTGCAAGCGGAGGCTCTTGAGCCATGAGGGCACATCTGTTGGAAAAGGAGGGAGGGCATAAGGTCAGGAGTCTGTTCTATCAGTTACCTCTGTGTCCTGGCTTTCTTATCAGACTGTGGTGTCTGAGGGCAGGGGCATCAGACCAGGGTTTGTGGTGGTCTCTCAGATCAGTCTGAACCCAAAGGACAGGGACTTCTACTCCCCTCGGACTTCTCCCTTCCCTGGGAGGGGAAGTTGAAGGTTGGGGGATAGGATAGGCAGGGTGGCAGCTACAAGCTCCTTTCTGTCCATTAAGCTCTGCAGAAACCTTTGGAGGGTCCTAGCACTGCCCTCCCGTTATACCTTTCATGCCACTGCCATCCTCCTGGAAAGTGTTCCGGCTGGAGCCCTGCTCCTCCGTCTGCTCACTGCCAGAGGAGGCCACGCTGCTCTGGGGCGAGAGGGGTGCGTGGTCGGGCGTGGTGAAAGCAGCTCGGGCCCCGAGCTCCTCTGGACTCGGCCACTCACCAGGGGCCTGGGGGCTCGTGGGAATGAGCGACATGGAGCGCTTCAGCGGGCTGGGGTGGATTTGGCAGGGGAGACCTGGCCAGAAAGGAAGAGAGGCAAAAGGTCAGGCTTGGGGATCTGACCACAGTAGACCATGCCACCCTGGTCAGTGCCATGGATGGCGGCTCAGCCCCAGACTCCAACAAGGAGAAGGGGCCCTGGTATCTGCAGGGAACCACCTACCAGATACTGCTCATTCCCTCACCCTTCATACCTAACCCATCAGCAAGCTATGAGCTATTTCTTTGAACTCCACTTCCCTCTGTTGGCACCCTGGTCTGAGTCAATGGCATCCATAACTGGAATTACTGCCACAGCCTCCTCACTGGTTTCTTTCCTTTTTTTAAAAAAATGTATTTCTTTGCTGATTTCAGAGGGGATGGGAGAGGGAGATAAAACATCAATGATGAGAGAGAATCTGATCGGCTGCCTCCTGCATGACCCCTACTGAGGATCAAGCCCACAAGCCGGGCATGTGCCTTTGGCCAGAATCAAACCCAGGACCTTTCAGTCTACAGGCCAATGCTCTAGTTACTGAGCCAAACCGGCTAGAGCATCCTCACTGGTTTCTTGTCTCCTATTCATCTCATAGCAGCACAATGGTCCTTCTAAAAATGCAATCTGACAAAGTTAGTCCCTGCTTAAATCCCACCAATGGCTTCCCTTCATGCTGAAAATAGAATTTAAACTCTTCCACACATACCACTACAAGGCCTTTCTCAACTCTGACCTCTTATCTCCCACTCACCCTTTGGATCAAGTCTAAAAGCCTTTGCCCCCCACCTCCATTTGTTCCGAAAACATTCAAGCTTGTACCAGCCTCAATACTTTTGCACTTGCTCTTCTTCTTGTCTCCCTCAGGTCTCATCTTGGCAAGTGTTATCTCTTTTTTTTTTTTAAATATATTTTTATTGATTTTTTACAGAGAGGAAGGGAGAGGGATAGAGAGTTAGAAACATTGATGAGAGAGAAACATCGACCAGCTGCCTCCTGCACACCTCCTACTGGGATGTGCCCGCAACCCAGGTACATGCCCTTGACCGGAATCGAACCTGGGACCTTTCAGTCCTCAGGCCGATGCTCTCTATCCACTGAGCCAAACCGGTTTGGCAAGTGTCATCTCTTTTAAGGCCTTCTCTTAACCCTCAATATGAGGTAGTTGTCCCTACCAATTCTGGTTACTATGTCATATTACTCTGTCTTATCTTTCTTACACTACCTATCACAACCTGAAATGATCTTATCTAGTTGTTTGTTTACTTGCTTATTAACTATATGCCCCTGATGCAATAACCTGTGATAGCAGGGATCTATCCTGTCCTAGATAGCACTGCATACTCAGTAATTACAGTGGGGCCTAGAGCAGAGCAGTTTCTTCAGAAGTACTTGTAAAGTAAATGAATGAAGTACATAAACTATGCGCTCAACAGCCATATTCTTGGGCTTCCCCAGCTCCCACAGATTTTTCTTAGACTACGCCAAATCAGGGTGAATCCAGGCCATCTTCCACAGATGTTGCAAACCCTCCATTCATCCATTTCATTTTTGAAGTAGGAAGAAGAATCCAACTTGACTTTTTTTTACCATTCTCAGGATAGGGTAGATTCCCACAGCTTCCAGACCTTTACACATGCTATCCCCTTTGTCTAGCGCACCACTCATCCACCCTTATTTGCCAGCCACTTCAGCCTTCGCTCCTCCCTCTGAATTCCTTTTTCTGGGAGTCCTTCCTCTGCATTCCTCCCTCAACCCCCAAATATATATATATATATATATTTGTTATTGATTTCAGAGAGGAGAAAGAGATAGAAACATCAAGGAGAGAGAATCAGTGACAGGCTGCCTCCTGCATGCTACCCACTAGGGATCAAGCCCGCAATCTGGGCATGTGCCCCGACTGGGAATCGAACTGTGACTTCCTGGTTCATAGGTTGAGGCTCAACCACTGAGACCCATCGGCCGGGCGCTCTATATTCTCTGGGCCCCTGAGCTGCTGCTGCCTCAAGCCCTGCACTTACTGCCCACTTCATTAGCCTGCCTCTCTCACACTGGACTCTGGGCTCGTATAGGATGGCAACCTTTTCTGCACCCCCAGGATCAGGAGTAAGAGCACAATATACAGGAGTCTTCAAAGTTTCCTAAAAGCCAAAAGGGGGGCACTCATGATCCTAAGGGTGCGAACATGGCCTCTGAGCTCGACACAGGGAATCTGGAGTATCCCAAATACAATTAAAAGGAAAGGAAACAAAGCCAAATGTCTTACCCTAGGTAGGTGAGAATATCAAAGCCCAGGGAACTGAAGCCCTTTGCCCCAGTTTCCAGAGTTGGGAGGCAAAGGCATAAGATGGAAAGGCTGGGATTCCTGCCAGCACTCCACTGACACCAGCCCAGAAAGGAGGATCAGCTTGGTACAGGCCCCAAAGCACCTTCCCCCACTGTGACAGTTATCTATGCTCCTAGCCAGGAAGTCACCTGAGGCAGAGGGCAGTGTACTCACCCACTCCCTAAGCCAGCTCTACCCCTGCCCATAACCTCTAAGGTCCTTTGCTCAGGGCTCCTTCTGAACTCCCAGAAGAAAACGGCACATGTTGGGCCCTGAGGGACTGGGGAACCCTCAATATAGGCTATTTTACACCTGCTTTGATCCCTTTGGCCTCTTCCTTCCTCCCTTCTTAGCCAAGGAGGCAGGGAAGACTGAAAGGGCAGGAAACTATCCTGATTGGAATGATTGTGCAGTTTCTTTTTCTTTTTTAAAATATATATACTTTATTGATTTCAGAGAGAGTAAGGGAGAGGGAGAGAGAGGTAGAAACACCAATGATGAGAATCACTGGTCAGCTGCCTCCTGCAAGCCCCTCACTGGGGATGGAGCCTGCAACCCAGGCATGTGCCCTTGACCGGAATTGAACCCAGGACCCTTAAGTCCACAGGCTGACGCTCTATCCATTGAGCCAAACTGGCTAGGGCGATTGTGCAGTTTCTGAGGAGCCCTGCTTGGCCCTACAAGAGTGGAGGCTGACCACAGCATGAAAACTGAAAACTATAAAAACAGGAATGCTGGCCAGAGTTCCAGGGCCTCTTTCTCCAAGAAACCTGGTTTGTCCTTGGCAGCACCCCAAACCTATTGTGCCTGCCCTTACAGGCCAATCCTTGCTCCCCACTCAAAAAGATTTAAATGGTTTCCTGCAACTGCTTGAAACTGAAAAATTTCAGCCTATCCTTCAACCCTCCCCCCCGCCTCCCCGCCATGCGGCCCTAACATGCTGAGATTGGGGAGTCAAGACAGACCTGAGTTTAATCCTGGCTTGGTCACCTATTAACTGCATGATCCCAGGTAAGTCACTTCATTTGCCCCCCACCTCCATGAGGTATGAGTATCTTCGGGAGATCACTTTTAGGTGGAGCCATTGTAGCACAGTAGTTAAGAGTATGACTTAATTACTCAGTTTGGCTCAGTGGATAGAGTGTCAGCCTGCGGACTCAAGGGTCCCAGGTTCGATTCCGGTCAAGGGCATGTACCTTGGTTGCGGGCACATCCCCAGTAGGGGGTGTGCAGGAGGCAGCTGATCGATGTTTCTTTCTCATCAATGTTTCTAACTCTCTATCCCTTTCCCTTCCTCTCTGTAAAAAATCAATTAAAAAAAAAAAAGAGTAAGAGCTATGGTCCTAGCTGGTTTGGCTTAGTGGATAGAGCGTTGGTCTGTGGATCGAAGGGTCCCGGGTTCGATTCTGGTCAAGGGCACATGCCCAGTGGTGGGTGTGCAGGAGGCAGCCGATCAATGATTCTCTCTCATCATTGATGTTTCTATCTCTCTCTCCTTTCCATTAAAAAAAAAAAAAAGAAGTATGACCTATGGAGCCAGTCTGCTTAGATTTAAATTTTGGCTACACCATGGCTGGTTTGGCTCAGTGGATGGAGCATCAGCCTGCGGACTGAAGGGTCCCAGGTTTGATTCTGGTCAAGGGCATGTATCTTGGTTGCAGGCTCCGTTTGGGCCCTGGTCCGGGCCTGTGCAGAAAGGACCAATTGATATGTCTCTCTCACATGGATGTTTCTCTTTCTGTCTCTCCTTCTCCTTTCCACTCTCTGAAAATCAATGGGGAATATCCTTAGGTAAGGATTAGCAACAACAACAAAATAATAATAAATTCTGGCTACACCACCTTGGACAAATGACTTTTCTGTGACAACTAATGAATGTATAGGTATAAAGTTCTCAGAACAGCTCTTGGCAAAGACTAAACACTGAATATATTTCAACTAGAATTATCATTAATATATCCTCCCAACCTGGACCCAGAAATTGTCATGCTCTGAGATTGGAAAACACCTTGGTTTGCTTTATTTTCCAGAAATGCCCCCTATCCCTCTATCTTCCCTGATTCTCACTAGCACCTGGGAGGGAGGAGGGAGGCTACCAGCACATACATATTTAACTGGAGAAGAAAGATGCTCAGGGGGTAACTGTTGTGTGCTAGGTGCCATACAGCTGGGCACCAGAGACCCAGGGTTCACCCCATCCACTGGCACGAATGACATGTCACTGCCACTCCTTCCTGGCCTGCTTTAACCAGTGCCCCCCACAGTGAGGATCTTAGAAACCTCTTGCTTTGAGTCAGGTCATGTTACTGTACCAATCCTTGAAAATACCACTCTCTTATCCTGTTCAACTAACATTTCAAAAACTCATTGTAATACCAGCTCCTCCTGCTCACCCCAGCCTTCAGGGTGCTTAATAAGAGAGCCCTTTCAAAACCACTTAGTTGGAGGCAAGTGCAATAATCAGAGGCAGGCTCTGGTGGCAGAATGCTTGGGTCTGAACCTTGGCCAGGTCCACCGCTTGTTCTATGTGTGAACTTGAAAACATGATTTTACCTCCTAGGTCTCAGTGTTCTCATCTGTAGAATGGTGATAATAATATGGTTGTAATGAGGATGCAATGAGATCATGTGTGAAAAGTATTAAGTATAGTCAATGCTCAACAATGTTACTTACTATTACTAATGCACAGCAGCATGAGTTACAGCTTAAATGAACAGGCTTGGAAACATTTCATAGACACAATGCATTAATCTGAGGCCAGATACAAAAATCCAGAACGTCTGAACTAGAAGGGACCTCAGATTATGTCATTAATTTATTGCCTTCAGAGGCCAGGCAGGTATCAGATATCACCAAAGAAGGATAGTGGTGGAGGCAGAGGCTGACTGGGGCACATGTGTAGGGTGTAAAAGGGATGACCAATGTTAAATTCCATCTTACTGTTGCCACCAGAAATACAGGCCTTGAGCTGCCAGATCTTTTGACTTTTCAAGAGAAACTAAAATGTGGATTTTTAGGGAAAAATTCGATTTCTTATATTACCAAATTTATTTAAAAACAGAACAAGTAAAATCAAAGTTGAGTCTGGGCTCAACAAAACATATCTGTAGGTCAGACATAGCTGTGGGAATGCCAGTTCACCACCTCTGCACTCCCTCATAAGGTGAGGCCCAGAGAGGTTATATGACTTTCCCAGGGCCACAGAGCAAGTAAAGAGATAGCCTAGTCTGTCCCTTTTCAAGTAGGCATGACCTCCTGGGACTCACTACCCCATCACCTGCATTTGCGTTGCTCCCAATACTGTTGATGACTGGCGGCACAGAGCTGGGTGAGTGGAAGGGAACGTGTCCATTTTCCCGGGGTGGCTTGTCCTGCCAGCCTGACCCTGCCTCCCTAGGGCCCAGCTCTGCAGGCCCCCCCCACTCATCTG